GGTTGACCCGGGCGGCTTGGGCCTGCCTCGTGGTACAACAGCCCCCGCTCCCACCAAAGCTGGTCTCCACCCCCCTCCTGCCACCCTGCGGCGGCCTGGGTCCTAAACTTAGCCAAAGTGGGGTCTGTGGCTACCTCCTGCTTGAAGGTCTACTGGTCCCAGATCAGGGGAAGGTCGGGGTCAGGTGGGAGTTCGCTCCCCGAGTCCATGCTTGGGAAAGGTCCCATGGTGGCTTCATCTGTAGGAGGACCTTGACCTGCTTGGCTCTGGGTCACTGCCCCAACGTACTGGCATCGTAGCTCCCCTAGGTCGTTGCCGAGCAGAACATCCACCGGGAGGCCGCTCATGACGCCGATCTGGCACTGTTGCTCCCCGAACCCATAGTCGAGGTGTACGGATGCTCTGGGGATATGATGTCTGGCTCCTCCCGCCAGCTTGATGGCGAATCCAGGGCCGGGTTGGATGGCTTCTGGTCGGATCACTCAGGGGTCGGCGATGGTCAAGAAGGCCCCCGTATCCCAAAAACCAGTGGCGGGTTGCCTGTCCACACGCAAGGCCTGCAGGTGGCGCTGTTTCTGGGTGGGGGTGGACACTGTGAACCCCCCGGGAGTGGTTGTCTTCTGGGGAGCTCATCCATTCGCTGGGAGGCAGGCAGGGGCAGTGGTTCTTCTGCGGTATGGAGCTCCAGGTAGTGGACTGGGCGGGGGAAACGGCGGCTTCGGGAGGTGGGGCAGTTGGCTTGGAGGTGCCCCGGCTGGTTGCACCCGTAGCAGCGGTGGTCCATGGGGGGCCCGTGAACCGGGCTCTGGGTGGCGGTCCTGCAGAGTTGTCAGTGGTAGGTGGGGGCCCCTTTTGGCCGAGGTGGTGAGGGGTGGGGCCCTTGGCAGCTCAGGGGCCCGCTGTTTCCAATGGGGTTTAATGGCCAGGATCTCGTTGGCCAGGGCAGCAGCCTTTGCAAGGGTGATAGGGGCTTTCTCTCTTACCCATCCGCGCACTTCCACCGGGCATTGGTTGTAGAATTGCTCCTTCAGAAATGCTTGGATGATTTCTTCTGCGGTGCGGGCCTGTTCCCCCTCTAGCCACCTCTAATAGGACTGTGACATCTTGTGCGCATACATCTGATAGGACGGCTCCGCATGGCAGGGAAGGTCATGGAAGCGCACCCGGTGCACTTCTGGGGTCACTGCGTAATACTCTAACACAGTCTGTTTGACCCAGGCGTAATCTTGCCTGTCCACATAATCCAGAGTGCGGTAGGCTGCAGCCGCACCCCCTTCGAGCAGACCCACGAGGTGCCGTATCCAATCTGTACTTGGCACCTCCATGAGCTGGCACTGCTGCTCAAAGTCCTGAAAAAACCCCCCCGTGGCTCCAGTCTGTCTTAGGAATGCCTTTCATCTCTGCAGGAGGTGAGAGGGGCACGGATGAGAGACTGCAGAGAGAGCAGGGACAGAGCAAGGGGGGCTGAGAGGGGGAAGCAGCTGTGACAGACCTTCTTCTGTATCATGTCTGCAGTCTCTGACCTTCTCCTGTATCATGTCCACAGTCTCTGACCTTCCCCTGTATCATGTACACAATCTCTGACCATCTCCTTAATCATAGACACAGTCTCTGACTGTCTCCTGTATCATGTCCCGCAGTCTCTGACCTTCCCCTGTATCATGTCCGCAATCTCTGACCATCTCCTTTATCATATCCGCAGTCTTGTCTCTGACCTTCTCCTGTATCATGTTCACAGTCTCTGAATATCTCCTGTATCATGTTCACAGTCTCTGACCTTCCCCTGTATCATGTCCACAGTCTCTGACCTTGCCCTGTATCATGTCTGCAATCTCTAGACCATCTCCTTTATCATATTCGCAGTCTTGTCTCTGACCTTCTCCTGTATCATGTTCTCAGTCTCTGACTATCTCCTGTGTCATGTTCAGTCTCTGACCTCCTGTAGTATGTCCGCAGTCTCTGACCATCTCCTGTACCATGTTTGCAGTCTCTGACCTTCTCTTGTATCCTATCTGCAGTCTATGACCATCTCCTGTAGTATTTCTGCAGTCTCTGACCATCTTCTGTACTATGTCTGCAGTCTCTGACCAACTCCTGTATCATGTCCACAGTCTCTGACCAACTCCTGAGCTGGAGCTCTAATATGAAGAGTAAGATGAAGGGGTGGATCTTAAACAGGAAGGGGTGGGGCAAATTTAGATTGGAGGTGCCTGATTTTAGTCTTGCCTAGGACAGCACAAAACCAAAATACACCACTGATTTCCTCCGATGTAAAGGGGGAGTCCAATAACTCTCTACTGCCTAGTCAGAGATGGTAGGGATATTTTATATACATAACTGTCTAGTTCATCATACAAGATCTTTGTACAATACTGTTGGGTCTTGTAGCCATAAAGGACTCATGCTCCACATGCAAAAGCCCCCTCATTGTGACAGGGTAAGTTCTATGACAGAGTAGGGTAAGTTTTATGACAGAGTGATCTAAAATGGCTTAGAGGAGGTAGAAAATCTGAGTGACTTGTTAGAGATTTTCTAAGGTGGAGAGAATCACATCAACCCTGGAAAGGGTATGATGTGTCCCTGAATGGCATGTGAATTCCCCACACTGAGCGTGTTTCCACCATCATAAATCTATTACATTAAAGCCAGAACACCATTTTTCCAAGGGGGCTGGATACACCTGAGTACTGATATATCGCCTTTGTCAATCTCTTAACATTTTATTCATGCAGATTTCAAATTTAGTAATGTCAAAAGGAGGAGGGACATTTACATTATAAATAGTGTAAAGTTTAGAAGAGATCAAAAGGACACTCCTCTCATATGCAGAGCAAGTTGCATGGAATGCATGAGCAAATGAGCATTTCATTAACATCATCATTCCCTTCAAGCAGGTCTTCTGGTGTAGAATATTTTTAAAGATATGTAAAAACCTTTTATCTTGGAATTTAGTCCCCTGACATTCCATGATATAAATTTAGGGTTCACCATGCTGTGAGTGTGCCATAGATAATAAAAACAGCAAGTAGAGAAAACAATTACTGATTATTTTACTAAGGCGTATGGTTGGCTTTCCTTGTTGGAAGTGGTCTCTCATGCTACATTTGGACAGTTTGGTGGAAGTGTGGAGAGAGTTTTTATATAGAACAACCGTGCAGGGGTTAGGATCTTTCTCTCCTCCCCTCTTTTTTTAGACGGCGATAAAGCAGCTGGGCATACCCTTTAGCCCACTGGAATTCATGATATCTTTCCTACAGAATGAGGAAAACTCTAGTTCATTGTACTTATAGGCCTTGCCCCACATACGAAGGATATGGAGGGTGATTTGGCTTTTCTTCTCTGCCATCAGTACCACAAGATGGATATTTGACCACTCTTGCCCCTCCGATGGTTTACATCATTGAAGTTTGGACTATGCAGTCCCATCTTGGATGTCAGTATTTTTTGACCACAAATTCAGATCCTTTTTGTACTCATGCCCCCTGAAGAAGATCTAAAAGTGTAATGATTGAAATTGCGTCGGGGTTATTTTGGGAATGTTGTGTTAAAAAATAGTCCGATAAGTGGGTGACACCACTACTGCAACATTGTTGCATCTTAAAGGGAATACATCCCTGGATTAGTTATCAGCTAGATACTAGATTTTTCCTTATGATAAGGAGTATCTGTAGGAATCAAATATCCTAAATAGGGGGACTGAACATAGCTGTCCCACAATAGTTCTGTATTGAGCCAAACAGAACATCATGCTGGTAACAAAAAAATAAATAAATAAATAAACATAACAAGCCAGCTATTCCCTCCTGGACCACTGCCCCAAATTGCCGTTTTAAACTCAAAATGCTTTGGTAGATGAGAAGCCTGAGTTCACATAGTGCATGGTTATACAGAGACTGAAAGAGTATGTCCATCTGTCCGCTTTAATGACACATAAAGTGAAAGGTACACCCAGCTGTGGTGAAAGAAGTGAAGTAAATAGAAGAACACAGTTGATTCTGCTGTGCCGATAATACATTGATTGCAAATTGCCCAATAAGTCCCTATTATAAACTTTAAGAAATCAGTTGTAAGGTGACATAGAAGAGTTTGTATCTGCTTGAGCCACAATCAGGACCTGATATAGGCCAAACCAGTAGAATAATGTAATGCCAAGCAAGTCATGCAGAAACAATGGAACAAGTTTCAATTCTGCCATCTAACTGTGAAACTGTGAAAAGTGAGATAAACACAAAATACTAGCAACAATGGCTGTAGATGGTGTCCCAGCTGGGGGAAAACTTGTGAGAATCCTATCGGCATATTCAATGTCAAGTGCTCTCAGAATGTTTCTGCCAGCTCAGTGATTGGCAACACCGCCTCCAATTTCTTTTTTAGTGCTGCTCATGCACCCTTTTCATTCTTCTCCTCCTCTTCTGCTAATTCCACCATACATTGTCAACTGACTATGAGGAGTCAACAGGTTTTTTTGCCCTACTATTCCCAGGGCAAGTCCACAGACCTCTACAGTTGATTTTTAGGTCTTTCCAATGTATAGGTTTTACAGAACGTAAAGAAAAATGTCTCACAATCACTTCCATGGCAGCTTTGTTAAACACCTGCCCTTCATCAGCATTTAGATTGCCCTGAGACAGCAGAAGGAGGAATTTTGAGGTGCTGAGAATGAGGAGGAGTAGGGTTAGGGTGCTGGCAGTAAGCAGAAGGGTAATGGTACTAGTATTGAGAAGGGGTGTTGTGGTGTTGGCAGTAAAGTCCTAGGCGTAAACATCATCTTGTCCTTATGCAAAAAAAAACAAAAAACAAAGGCTGCCCTCCCTTCTACAATGCAGGCAGATGGTCTTGCAGCAAATAGACGACATAGATCATACAGGCAGGGGCAGGCAGGAACAAAAAGATAAGCATAGAATCCTATGGTCATAGGTAGAGATGAGCGAAGTATTCAAAAATTCGATTCGACTGATTCGGCGAATTCGTGGAAAAATTTTGATTCGAGTCGAATATATTCAGTGCCGTCGATCTTAGAATCACCGCCACACTTCACTCATTTGGGCAGTCACGGGGCCAAAACCAGAGTGTGGAGCCACAGTGTGTGGTGGTGGAGGCAGCAGCAATGGGAGGCCACATTACAGCACCCTATGACAAAAATGGAAACCACCATGCAGTGTGAGGAGACCCTGAAAGTGGTACATGGCAGAGTGTGGGCGATGGAGACAGCAGCAATGGGCGGCCGTACAGGGACCCATGACACACTCTGGACCTGGCAGCAGCATGAGGAGGCGGGTACAGGGGCCCATGACAGATTAGGGGCCTGGGCAGCAGCTATGGGAGGCCCGTAATCTGCCAGCACCCTATGACAAAAATATGAAACACACCAGCAGTGTGAGGAGACCTGAAAAGTGGACACATGGCAGAGTGTGTGCGATGGAGACAGCAGCAATGGGAGAGCCGTACAGGGACCCAGAAGACTCTGGACCTGGCAGCAGCAATGAGGAGGCGGGTATAGGGGCCCATGGGCAGATTACGGGCCTGGCAGCAGCTATGGGAGAGCCCGTAATCTGCCAGCACCCTATGACAAAAAATGGAACACACACAGCAGTGTGAGGAGACCTGAATGTGGCACATGGCTGAGTGTGGCGATGGAGACGAGCAGTGCATAAGGGAGGCCGATACAGGGACCCATGAGGAGACTCTGGACTTCGGCCCAGCAGCATGAAGGAGGCGGTATAGGGGTCCCATGGCAGGGATTAGGGGCATGGCAGCAGTTATGGAGAGGCCCGTAATCTGCCAGCACCCATTTTGACAAAAAATGGACACACCCAGCAGTGGAGGAGACCTGAAAGTGGCACATGTTGGGGCATGTTCATGGGGGATTTGTCAGTTGTGTCAGGAACGGGGGTTTGAAATCCAGCTAATCCCCGCCTGATTTTATTTTCAAAAACGGGGTCTTCCACACTTTTTGGGTGGGGCAGTCGGTCCTCCGCGGGTTGCAAAACCTCCTGCCGCACTAAAAACGCACCCCCCCGATGCCCCTCTGGCCCGGGGATGACAGCCCTTTTTAAGGGCA